AGTTTTTTGAGTGTATATTAAAACTATATAAATCATTATTTATGACACCACAAAAATCATGCCACTATTATATAAATTATGAAGTGGTGTCATTATGTTATTTTATGACTATATCTAACTATATAAACCAGAATATCTCATGTATCATAGTCATAATCACCATGAAAGCCATCTCTTCTGCTCAAAGAGATAATATCCTCTCTCTGTCTTATGCTGGCCTCTCTGCTTGCCAAATTTCCTCTAGAACTGGAGTATCCAAGTCCACTGTGGCCAAGTTTATCAAAGAAAGCCACCCAGACAAGGAAAACTCTTGTGGAGGACGTCCATCCAAGCTTACCTCTACTGACAAAAGGGCTATTATCCAACATATCACTACAGGAAAGGCTGATAATGCTGTCCAAGCCACCCATTATATCAATTCCACCATCACTACCCCTGTCTCTTCACAAACTGTGAGGAATGTTCTCAAGGCAGCTCATCTCAAGGCAGTAACAAAGAAAAAGCCTCTTCTCTCCATCAAACATAGGCAGAGAAGACTAGCCTTTGCCTTAGCTCATCAACACTGGACTGTAGAGGACTGGAAGCATGTTATATGGTCAGATGAGACCAAAATCAATAGGATTGGGTCAGATGGGAAGGTATATGTATGGAAAAAGAAGGGAGATGGCCTAACAGACAGAGAGGTTAATGGGACTGTCAAGTTTGGAGGAGGTTCTTTAATGATATGGGGCTGTATGAGATGGAATGGTGTGGGAATGCTTGCTGAGGTTGAGGGGAAGATGAATGCTGAGCAGTATGTGGACATTTTAAATGACCACTTGCTGCCTAGCTTGGCAGAATCAGGGATTGATGAAGAAGATATCATTTTCCAACAGGATAATGATCCCAAGCACACATCCAGAAGAGCTAAGGAATGGTTTGAAGAACATAACATCAATGTTCTTGACTGGCCAGCACAGTCTCCTGATGTCAATGTCATTGAACATCTCTGGGGAACACTCAAGAAAAAGCTTCAAGCCTATGAAAACCCCCCTAAAGGAGTATGGGAGCTTTGGGAGAGAGTAGCAGTGAAACGGGGGAAGATCACAGCTGAGGATTGCCAGAAATTAATTGAGAGTATGCCTAGAAGGATAGAGGCAGTAATTAAAGCCAAGGGAGGTCATACAAAATACTAGAATACCTGGTTATTATTGTAAAATACTTGAGTCAAAAAACTGTCCACATGAGTCACCATTTTGTGAGCCTTATATCTCCACCATATCTCTACCGATTCCCACGGTGTAGGGCTCAAATGAAAGCCCTGAAGCCATACTACAATGTGGTATAAGCATATCCTTGAGGCATTTGTTCATTCTCACACAATATCATAGATAGTGAAAAATGTCAAAACATGTGGACAGTTTTTTGAGCCACTGTATACTTAGCTAATACATGAATTGTCAGGATGGGAATACTTGAGAACTGACTGCATTCAACTGGAGCGATATACTTTGCAATAAATGATCTGCCTTAGGACCAGCACTTCCTTTAGATGAACATCATTTGTGCTACTATTTTACCAGAACAAAAAGAGCCTAATGTCCAGCAGATCAATCATTGTCTTGAACCATCAACAAAGGAGTTAATGCTCCTGCAAAATGGTAACTTAGACAGACTTTGCTCTATTTCTAATATGATATCAGAGAGATCTCATGCACTAGTCCTACCATGTCCAGTCCAGTCCAGTCCTGCTTATTTCCACTGGTGCATAGTCAGTTATTTCCCATTACTAATTGAGTAGACAGTGTTATTACATGGATTCCCACAGGCTGCAGTACCTCATGGCCGTTTACCTACATATCATCAGACCCATGTTTTTGCTACTACTTTCACCTATGGACTCCAGACTTTCATGTAGTTAGTTATATAGGGTTGGGTGACCAGGCTTACAATTACCACTTAGTAGGAGGGAGAAATCCCTGATGCTGGTCACCCATACCTGTCCTTAGAGCTACCATTGCAATATACCTGTTGACCTGCTGTGTAAACACAACCATTGCTAGTTACTTGGTAAAGTGCCTAACCAAAAATATTGTTGTAAGGTTGATGCTCTGCCTAGCTGCTACACTTGCAAGCAAGAATGGCCAATAATACTAAAGACCCGAAAGTGCACAGAGCATCGGAACAAGCATGTGGGGATGTAGAGCACAGAAAATGCACAAGTGTGGTCAATGAGTGGTCAATGAGCAGTCGATGTGCAGTGTGAGATGCAAAGGAGTGAAGGTACAGAATAGGGAAGTCTTAAGGAATGAGGCAGATAGTGAGTGAGGGAAAGGGTATTGATTGCAAGGGTAAGGAAAATTGAGGTAAGGTATCCAGGTATAAGGTAACCAATAGGGGCTTAAAAGCATGCACTAATGGTGACTGTTTCTAAGTAAAACCTAAGGGAAGGAAATACGAAGTAGTCACTCTAGGCACTTTATACTAGCTAAACCCTCTTGGAAATGGAAGGGACAGGACAGACAGGCAGTAGGAATATGGAAAGACATGTAATAAGACTACTAATGAAGGCTGCATATAGGGGAGTGATGAATAATATGAGGGCTACCTTTCCATCACCTATATCAAAAGATGGCCATGCAAGCCTAGCAGGAATATGATTGTCACATCACTCTCCTTGACACAGCACTATTGTCACTCATTCATCTTATGTTCCCTAACATCTCCAAGCTAGTCCTGACACTTTCCCTTCCTTTCTCTTACTATTCCACCATCTCTGCACCTGCAGATCCAATTTCCCATGCATTGGACTTCACCCCATACCTTTGGACTTGATTTCTGACATTCAGATTTTCATCCTTTGTGTAGTACTGATTATTGAACTTGACTAGACAGCAGATCCCTCAGGTCAAACATTCTTGCTTGCAAGTGTAGCAGCTAGGCAGGACTAGTAGACATATATTGGCTAGGTATTCTCACAACTATCTAGCCAAGTTGTGTTATCCACAATGTCTTCCCAAGAATGTATGTTATTTATATTCTTCAAATAGTATCAACACTACACCTTTTTGGCAGCTTGGCAAGAACCAATCACTGAAGAAAGCAGATGAGTGAAGAAGACTGCTGATAGTCACACCTATACTGCTATGGTTGTCTTGGAAGGATGAGAATGATGCTATTCCAGATGTGGAGCCCCCTCAGCCACCCAATACACAAGCTCTTGAATTTTTATGCAACTGCCAGTACATATATAATGCAGTCTTACTTCTCTGTGCAGCTGTTCATCTTCTTGCAACTTGATCAATCTCAATGTCCCAGGCATGCATCAGACAATCATTTTTGTCCCAGTATTGCTTCCACTGCCTTGAGCTCAACATTCATCTCATGATCAATTACCATGCATCAATGCATATTGCAGACATGATCAAGGCTTACAGACCTGTGTATTCATGGTGGCTGAATGGAGTTAACATTGATGTGTCATTGGGTTCAGGCCCACTTGATATACAAGTATACTCTTTCACTTCCCCACAATGCTCATGTGCTAGAACAAGATACCCTCCATGAGATCCTTAAGAGTCAAGCCCAGCAGCAAGGGAGTATGATGACAGACATTGCTGTGTATTAGGGTGAAGCTGCTCAAGGTATGTTCTCATGCTATACTTTGACTCTATTGAATAGCTCCTCAGACAACATCCAACTCCCACTTTGCCAAGCAAAGTTTGTCAATCTTTGAACTTTTGGACCTGAAGGTGTCCTTTATCCATTGCTTATAACATACTGCTGAGCTCTCTGGCTGTTATGAACTAGGGTGGTTCTAACAACAGATGACTTGATAAGAGTCAGGACCTCCATTGAGATTCTACATGAGATGATAAGTCAAGTGTTCAAGGTAAGCTAAGGCAGTGGGAGTGTCTCTGACTTAAGATACAGTTCAGACGACTTAGGATTGGGAGTCCTAAGCAAAGGATGTTCCAGGTAAAACCTAGTAAGATTAAGTGCAGTATCAAGGCATACAAGGTAGACTATATATAGTGAACACAAGTGCTTTATGGTAGGTGTGGGATCAAGGATGAGTCAGAGATAACAAGATGAGTCAGAGAAAACAAGAATAGGTACCTAGTGATGGTGATAGTGATCATGGCATAATACAAGTGTAAGTTGGAGATAAGTCTATCAGCGGCAGCATGCAGCATGTGACATAATACAGTAAGAGAAAATGAATAGGGGCATACATTGACTGTAACACTGGCCTGGTCTTAACATTATTGGTGACTTCTCATTCGACAATGGCAGTCTTCTTTGCCTTTAAGGTTGCCTGTGCCCTCATGTACATCCAAAAGGATGGTATTCAATATGGTTACATAACCAACAGATGAACACAAACTGATACATATGCTTTCATTTCCTGTAGTGGGTCCTGTCTTCCTGTTGAGATAACCATACTCCTCATTATTGACATTCAAGACAAAGTACCTCACATTTGTGCCCTTGTCTGACATCTCAAGTCTAATGAAAATATTTCACTGATGCCTTGGGCACTCTAGTAAGTCATGCCTTTGTTTCTCATCATCTTCTGAACTTTAACTTTAAAAATAGTGAAAGTACTCTTGGCATCCATACCTCATATTCAAACAATTATCATCCATATGAAATAATCCCAGTTGCTCAAATTGCAAGCCCACCCACACTTATTCCAGTATACTCTAATGTCATTAAGAAAAGTCTTCAGATTGCAGTATCATTTGACCATGTACAAGATTTGGTTATGGTATGAATGTACAAATGAGACAGCTAACATTCTTTGTCCTTTAGTCAGGAACAGAGCCTGAGGATTTCTTTGATAATAACAACTGAGCTCTATATCATGAGACTGAATATACAAAGTGCATACCTTCAGTCTTCAAATTTGCTATCAGCATTGTCATCAATCATCTGATGTGCAATTGATGTGCTTGCAACAGGCTGTGCTGGCACTGTATTCTTTGGCTGAGTTGGCTCCTTATCAACATCAACTGCTCTTACTTTCCCCTTGTCCTTTTTTGATTGTGCTTTTTCTTACCCTTCTCTGATTTCTTGTTTGCATCATCTACCAATTTTGCTCTCTTACATGTAGCAACTTCTTTCTTTTGGTTCTTGACATGCTTCTGGGCTGATATAGTTTCTTCAGGGTCCTTTGGATCACCCCATGCTTTCTCATTGTTTATGATAAATGCTGGCACATCATACTTTTAATTCCCTGGCTGTGTGAGTCACTCCTGTGATACCATCTACCTTCTCACACAATGTTCAACTTTCTAAATTTGTGAAACAGTGATATCAAATGGCTCGCCTTGGGTATGAATAGTGTAATGCTTTGGTGGATGAGGATCCTGTTGAGCATCAACAGCAGTGATAAACTGGTTCCTCTGTTACACAAGGTAGGTCAGCACTTAAAAAGTTATTGTTAAATCATTGCTTACATGCTCACTTCCCCATACCCAAGGATGTGAGATGTATCTTCCAGTAAGATGTTCTTCTTCATTTGTCTCATCCTCATCTTATGACATGAGTTGTGGGACAAGGGTGATATTGAACTCTGATTTGTCAGGTAGTACATCAAATTTCTGCTTGTGAACCTCACATTTTTGTGAAACCTCAGGCCTTAGCTGCTGTTAAGAACCATGTTGCTCAAAGGAGAGAGAGACTGACTCAGAGGGGCTTGGCCTCAGCTCAAATGCTATGCCCCTTACCTGAGTATGTGCCCTTTATTTCATATGAGGTCCAATGATGGTCCAACAAAGTCCAGAGGAGTGCGGGAAATGTCCGGAGGAGCATGGGAGAGTTCTGGAGGAATGCAGGAAGTATTCAGGACAGTTCCCACTGCAAGGTAATACTTCTACAGGAAACAGGATGGAAGGATAGGAGATCTGAAGGTCTGGAGGACAGGAGGGCAGGATGATGGAGGACAGAAGGACAGGATGTCCAGAGGTATGAAGGACAGGATGTCTGAAGGTACAGAGGGCATGATGTCCAAAGGACAGGAGGATAGGACATCTGAGGGTTAGGAGGGCAGAACATCCAAAGGACAGGAGGTCCAGAGGTCCAGAAGGAATAGGGGCTACATCAGATGAAGTCCAATGTAGAAGCAAATAGAGGTAGACTACCCTAAGGTAGAGTTGGAGAGAACAGGGATTGGACCTAAGTCTGGAAAGAGGGTAAGTGCCAGAAAGGCAAAGCTCCGGCCTAGGGAATCAATCCCTAGGCCTGATGAGTAGGACAGACTTAGGTGGACCAAAGTCTGAGAGAGGATTGGGCAAGTCTAAGTTGATATTCAAACTGAGGAAACTACAGGAGTATCTACAGGGGTTATATACTGGAGACTATCTGAGGGGATTAGTAAGCAAAGGAGCAAGGCTATGTACAAGCATGTGGAAACATGTTAGTAAGTAAGATGGAACATAACTAAATGAACTCAGAGATGAAGACTCATACAAGGATCAATAAGCAAGACAGAACAGGAGGTACCCGAAAGCCGGAAAGGCAGAGATGCCTAAATTGGAATAGGTGCAGGATATCAGACAGAGGGTGGGAATAGGTCCAGAGTTAATATCTGGAGGTCTGGAGATCTGGGGATCTGGAAGACAAGGTAGATACAGGACTGGGATATGAGAAGGTGGATATAGTTCAGAATCCGAGATGAGGTGAAGTCCAGATGTCTTGCTGGATGGAGTGTGCATAGGGTGGATGGGACAGGGGGGTATGGATCAGGCTAGCAGTGGAGATCCAATGGTCTGGAGCTCAGGGATAAATCTGGAGCGTAGTCAATCCTGCTAAGGTGTGGAGCACACAGTGGAAGGGGATCTGGGAATGAGTTGGATATGAAGTGGGGTCCAGACATAGGCTCAGAAGGCGTGGGAACATGATGGAATGTGGGTCCAGATTGTGGGATATGACAGCTGCTGTCATAGGTAACATCCACTTGTTTGGCCCCTATTCATTTTCCTCACTCACACCCTTGCTGGACCCCTTTCCTCTTCAGGTGATTGCCCCTTTTCTCTTTTCTTGATTGTTCTATCATTTTCTCCTAATCATTCCACTGACCATTCTGTCAGTTGTACCTTATCTTCGGTTCATCCAATGACTCACCAACCCTATGTCCTTACCGCCTAACTGGTACTTCTTACTTACTATGGTATTCTGACTTGTCATGACTCACCATGACTCATGTCCCCTTTACCCTTACTACTCAACCAGTACTTTCTACTTACTTTGGTATCCTGACTCATTGTGACTCATTCACCCTCTACCCTTACCACTAATATGGCAAACCTGCCCTTATCCCTTCCAACAGTATATATACTTTACAGGTAGCATTTGTATTCTCTAACTTGAATCTACTTGGTTCATACTGTCTACTCCTTGAGCCCTAAGCAAGCTCTCCTCTTTGACAAGTACCTTCGTTGGAGCCTGTCGCTGCCAACATCCTTAGCCTTATAAAGAGAACAATTGATGACTCACCATTGTAATTGTCGATAATTGATTGTAGCCTTTGCAGCTAGATTGATTGCTGTGAACTTGTACCTACAAACACTCACTGGTTGCAGCAGGCTTGGTGCAAGCCCCAATCCAAGTTCTATGTTACTTACTTGCTTTGTTTGCTAGTCACAGACTTAGCTTGATCATAACAACATCATTGCTTAGTACTTACACCTTGCTGTTAACTCTGACACACAGCCTTTGATAGTTTTGCATCTCACAATGCTCCTTGGTTTTTGGAAGCCTCTGTTGAGGTAGTTACACAAGATGATGACAATATCTTGGCTGCCTGTAATGCTTTATGTAAGTCTTGGTACTTGGTGTGCACACAATCAAGCAAGTCTTCATCACTGATTGGATGCAATGCCTTTGCAGATGCAGGGCTAAATTCAGCACCCTTTGCACAAATATATCTGAAGACTGTCTGGAGACCTTGATAGTAATCTTCATGAGTGTGACTGTCCCCCCAGCAGAATAAGAGGAGCTTTTACCAGTTGCACCATCCATGGGCCACCATGGCAGATCTTTGGATGTCAATTTCACAGTACCAAGCATATGTGAAAATATATGATGTATGACAGCCTGTGTTCATCAGCATGATCTTTTTTTTAGAAAAGTTGTGTACTCACCAGTAGCCCAGGATCATTTTTTGCTTCAAGACTTGCCTCCATCCTTGTTTCATCCTCATCCTCTTCATCTTCTTTGTCACTAGATTCCTCAACTTCATGCCCACTTTTGACTATCTGTGTTACAGTGCTCCACTCTTTTTCCCATCATTACTGCAGACACCTTATGGCTGTACTTCTGATGCTTCCTTTTCACTGTGCTGTTTCATCATGGTCTCTCTTATCTCTGACTCATACTCCATTTTCCCATGAACCTTCCTTTCCTATTATTCATTACCCTTAGCCTAGCCTGGTCTGTGCATGATTCTCTTACATATATAAACCCTAGTTACTGCTTGTATTTTCTCTAACTTGAATCTACTCAGTTCTCTTTCATACTTGAACTCTAGCTCCTTGAGAAGGAGGCTAGCCATTGTCCCATTTGAACTCTAGATCCTGCAGGAGTCTAGATGATTGCTCCTGAGGGAGGCATTGAATTCAATAAGGCTTAGTCCTTGATCAACCCTGATCCTGATTCCTTTATTGGAACAACACTCTGTCTGAGTTCATAACAAAAGATTCAAGTTACCTCTGAACCCCTCCATCTGTAGGGGCTTTTACCTTTTTAACCCATAAAAACTGATTGATTGCCAAAGTGGCACCCTCCAAGAAAAGCAAGAAGGCTTTCTCTGAACAATCCAGAATTCCATACAGTCCTTATCTACCCAACTCTCCCAGACGAACCTCTTCATTGTGAGGATCCTTTGACACTCCCTACACTCCTGTTCTCCCTACTCTTGCTGTCCCAGGCCCTTCATCTATTACACACCACACTATTGTTTCTCATTTTGAAACAAGTGCACCAGCACCTATAGAAGACAGAGATGAAGAAATCCCTGACACTCCACCCATTGAACTGGTAGCACCACCCAGATTCCCCTCCCCTGAACCAGAACCATCAGACACTGACTCAGACTCAGACTCAGACTCAGACTCAGACATGCCAAAACCAATTGAAAGAAAGATTTGTTCACCACCTGACTTTGATGAAAATTGAGATGGAACCACAAAGTTCCTCCACCTCATCACACTCTACCTAGATGTGAACAAAGAAATTTATGATACCAACACCAGAAAGATCACCTTTGCTCTTTCATTTATGAAAGAAGGCACAGCTGCAGCATGGACAGAAGACTTCATTGAACATGCTCAGCAACCTGATCCAACATCCACTACTGGAGAAAAGAACAGATATGGAACTTGGGATGGATTTACTCCCCAGTTCGAAGAAACCTTTAACCCAATTGACTCAGCTGGTACTGTGCTTCACAAGCTCCATGCTCTTAAACAAGGCAATGACTTAAGTGAGTACATAGCCACATTCTGACAGCTCTGTAACTGAGCTGAGATCTATAGCTTCAACACTCAGAAAGACTACTTCCTCTGAGGCCTTAAACAACCGCTCATTATGAAACTCTGCAATTCCAGAGAGATCCCTAACACCCTTGACAGAATAGTCAAGAAGGTGATATCCATTGAGAACTCTTATCAGCTTCTCCTTTCCCACAGACCCCAGAACAATAATAGAAACACCTGTTTCAATGATTGGTGATCCACTCCATGTTTCACCCCTGGAAACAACAACCCTAATGCCATGGACGTTTATCGCCTCTCTGAGGCTGAAAAGAAGGAATACATGAAGCAAGGGAAATGCTTCTCTTGTGGAAAGGTTGGTCACAGATCTAATGACCAAGAATTCCACCCTCAAAACGGAAATGCCAGAAAGAATAACTATAAAGGAAAGCAGATGGTAAGGTGTACAGCACCTAAAGAAGAAGACACCAGCAAGATCAAAGACCTCAATGATGAAGAAGATCTTAATGGCAGAAGAATGGATTTTTGAACCAGGAGCCTACTGCAATGTTAGCCACTCCTTGTATCAATGTATGTACAGTGGCTCAAAAAAGTGTCTCAATGTTTGTGACTTTTCATGTAATTGCTATATTATGAGCCAGGGCATGAGAATATGACTAAGCCATAGGGAGGTGTGGGAAAGCTCTGCTTCTAAGCTTCATGTTTAATTCCTATAGCGTGGGAATATTATGTCA